TGGAGGATACTATTCTGGGTGTTGTTGCCTATAGTTCTTCAAATTCCATTTACAATACTACCTTTTCTTCTGTCTTCACTAAAAAATGTTAACAGAGTTCTAATTATTTAGTAAAGGTTCTAATTATTTAGTTCCTGAAAAAGATCTAGGTTAACTAAATTCCAAACAGTAACAAGTATTACTGAATGGAAGCTTATTTCATATCTACCTTTTGAAAGATACAGGTTAATCACAAGAAAAGTTTAATACTTGGGCATTTTATTCATATAAAGCTTTTTGGTATTTCGTTTTAATTAGAACTTATTTATCTTTGAGTTAGTGTATTTTATAACATTATTCATGGTGATGCATTTTTTTTTTCTGTTGTGTCCCTTTTAGGGGCCACCCCTATAGCCTGACAGAGGTAAAATTTACTTTGTAAATAAATTGATATTTAGATACTATGACATATAACATTATGACATACAAAATGTCATTTAAATACAAATTATTAATAATTTTGTATCAAGAATTTACTTATTTCTGTTTACGACTTAAGTGCCAGTTATTTCTTTTTATGGAATTTCTTAATGTAGAAATTTGTCAGTTTTTACCTTATTTCATAGTAAATTATTAAAGATTAGCTAGAAAGCAATTAATAGAATTTTGAAATTAATTTCTAGTTTGAAAACAGCCTTATGTATAAAAGCTATTTTCAGTGTGTAGTTAAAAAAAAAACTTTATAAAGTAGTTGGGTTTTTAATGTTTATCTTGATGTTTTAAATTGTGTTTTAAAGCCACAATGTATTCTACCCATCATCAAAGTTGTTAGCAAATATAGAAAATTATACTGTACAGGATGATCCTCTACAAAATGATTCATCTTCTAAATTACATAACTGAAATTATTCTTCCCTGTCTTACTGAAATTGGACCTTTGAAGTGCTGATTAAGCCTTTAAGTAGGCTGTTGAGAAGTTAACTTTCTTTTACTTTCAGTAGCAGTAGAAAATGGGATATTTCCTCCTTTCAGAATCTCCTTTGAAGACTTCTCCTAGGTTTTTTTTTTTTTTTTTTTTTTCCCTACAGGAACTCCTCTCAGGGTTCTTTGCTTATACCCTAGAAGTGGGTCTCCCTCACAATTTGTATTTTAGGGTGCTTTGTTCAGCCTCCCTGACAAGAACATTTCCTTACTTACCCTATCTCCTCAAACTAAAAATCCCATTTTCTTTGGAAACCAAGTTCCAAGTGCTTTTCCCCAGCCTCTGTGTTTACAGTGACCTAGAAAATTTAAATGATTTCTCTGATTTCCAAAGTATAAAATAATCAGTTAACTGATTCTGTCAAAGACAATCTTCTTAGAACTATTTCTTTTCAAAGAAATATAGTACTTATGCCTTTAGACATTAATAACTAAAAGATGCTACTTCTCAAGAAGCTTTAATATGTTAAGAACGATTCGCAAGTATATTACAAAATGAAATTTAAACTCTGCTTAAATTTAGAATCTCAATTTCTACAGTAACTTAGCGTTTAATATAGGCATCTTCTGTACTGGTTTAGGAAACCTTTCTCAATATGTAATGGCTAATATGTAATCAACCCTTTTCATAAACACATATATTTATGGAGTAGAAAACAATTTGCCAGATGAATGCATATGGTAATAGGTTGAAGAACTAAAGCTATCCTACTGTAATAGTTCTCAGCTCCTCTCTGGAGTCTAGTAAAAGAACTACCAGAAGATCAAAGTCAATAAAAACTTTTAAATGTAATTAGAATGTATGAATAAACAAATTGTATTCAAATTTGGTATCCTGACATAGAAATGCTCTGAAGAATTGTTCCTACTTCTGGCTACTTCCAAAGTACCTGTATACATTCTAGATCTACATTGTTTCATCGATATTATAAATTGATATTTGCTAGGTAGTTTAACATTTTGAAACATTTTTTAGTTTTTCAATAAACTTGATTTTTGTATCAAATGGGAACAAAAATACTTATATCTTTTGCTTGCTAAAGTAAATGAGAGTTCAAAATTAACTAAAACGCTTGCTAAAGTAAATGAGAGTTCAAAATTAACTAAAACAAAACTAGAATTGTGCTTTTTTTCTTTAAGGTTTAATGCATGTGCACAATAAACTTGTGGACCCACTACACAGTATGAAAGAAGGAAATTGAAGGAGATTGAAGCAAAATTCTGCTTGAAAGAAAACTTTATTAGATGAATTATCAGCTATGCAATGATAAAATTGGAAATTTTGAAGATTGTAATTTTTAAAATCTAATATGTTATACATTCCATATTTAAAATGCCTCTTTTACACTAGGATTTAGGAAATGTAGTCTTTTAAAATTGGTTGGCTATTTTATTATACAGTACAGTAGCTACATAGCCACCTGTAAAACAGCATAGAAATGAAATATCTGCCTGTTTAATTTTAGAATGATTAAGTTTTTTAAAAGATTCTGAACATCAGGTACCATTTGGGACATGATTAGTGAAATGGATTTTTATTTAATTACAAGAAGACACTCCAAGTTTTCATCAACAACTGTCATGGAAAACCTTTACTTTTGGAATGCTCTTTTTCTGTGCATTACACACATGCTTTTCTGCATGTGGTTGCCTTAGTCATTTTCCTGAGGTAGCGCCTGTGGACAAAGTCCTGCTATATATTGTTGGCAAAGAACACTTGAAGAGATGACAGTGCCTAAATGTTTAGTTTACAACCTTTTGGAAAGTGGTTAAGTGCATGCTTTTGCTTACCTTCTTATACAGCACTTTTTTACAGATATACTTATTTTTATTTAATGACTTGGGTTCATGCCCTTAATAATAGCATCTTGAAAATTATGAGCTTTATACCTAGGTACACACTTAAGGAAATTCTTTTGAAGAATATTTTCTGATTATTGTTAAACTTCACAAATGATTAGCTTTATTCCTTATTAAAAATGTCTAAAATTATAATGTGAAATATATATAAAAGGAATTGCTGTAAACTATTTTAGAGTGACATAACTTTGCATAAGTGCAAATTAAATATATTTTCTATTTTTACTTCAAATAAAACTTATAATAAATAATTTATCTAAATTTTATTTCCAGAAGTGAAATAAATACTTGCATTTGGGAGATTCCAGCAACTAACAGTATCTGTGAGCCTACATTTCCTTTTGTTTTGTTTCCATCATACAATTACAGATAGACAATACCTTTACCTGTAGTTTCTCAGTATTCCATTGGAAGTTAAAGACAAAATGCTCCCTGTCCTGTTGATGTTTCACATTTTATAAGCCCATGTTATAGAAGCCTTATTTATGTCTGCTTGTCTCTTCGATTGAAATGTAGTTACACTCCTTAAAATATTTAGCAAATCAACTGAAAATGAAATAAAAATAAAACTGTTAGTGTAAAATAATGCTGCCTTATTTTAATTATAGATCATGTTTTTAAAAGCTTTATAAATATTTAACTATCCAGTAAATCAGTAGTATCTTATACTAATAGTTCTGGTAATAAGAATTGTTTACTTTGAACTACCCTAACTACTTTAGGTCATATGATGCCATAATGACAAGGCCAACATTGTCTGTTTTTGTGTACCATTCACAGGTATTTCTATGCTTTAAAGGTCTAAAAGAATTTTTTCATTACAGCCACCGTTAGGAGGCTAATTTAGGTATGTGTCCTCTAACTGTTCAGCAAATTGCTCTCTGGCCACTGTAATTTCCTAACTCAGATGTGATTCTCTTAAGAATTTAAAGCCTTTTGAACACATTTCACAAGAAAAATTTTAGTAGTCTTTGAAGAAACCATTGTCTGAATCCCAGCTATGTCAAAAACTGACTGTGCACAATACTCTCTCCTTTACAGACTGAATAAAAGAGAACTCAGTACAGTGGCTGACACACAACAAACTTAATAAGTGGTGCCATTTTAATACTCTATTGTAGAAATCTTACTTATGTTAGGTCACTTTCCAAAATTTTTTTGAAGAGTGACTGACTACAGAATAAAATTTGACCATATAAAACAAGCACAAATATTAAATGGTAGACACATAGTGCATATTATGTGCCAGGTGCAACTTGTGACTCCTTTGCAACAATGAAAGAATAGAACATTTTGTTCTGAAACCATATTAATTGCTTCTTCATTTCAAATATTCTGCCATTTTAAGTCCCACTATCTTAATTTATAATTATCTCAAATGTAACAATATAAAATTCATCACTGATAGTCTTATTCTGAAAAGACATTTTCCTCATTCAAGTAGAAGACAAAAACCAATGGCTAAATCATTTTATTTCCTATGATACATTCTGCATGCTGTCAGTGATTATTAATGAATGAATGTGGAACTAAAGAACTTTGAATTAATATAGCTGTTTATTGGCTCTGTGATCTTAGGTATGAAAATTAAATAATTGTTAAGCTGTAATTCATAACAGCTGCTAATACCAAACACTTATCATAGTGCATGAATGAATTCTGAATGTCAGAAATAAGAGACTGCCTCTGCTTTAATTTTAATTTAGATGTAGATTATAAACCATCTCATTACAAACCAACATGTCATAAACTGTATGAACATCAAAAGATAAAGCAAATGCCTAGACACTATGTTATTTGACTTTAATAAGTGATTCATATGTAGTAAATCATACATATCAGATAAACTGATCCAGCTAAATTTTGACACTTAAGGTGGATTTTTGAAATTCTTTCACTTAAACTACATGGAATATTAATATGGGACCTTGCAGTGAGAGAAAAACATGCATGAAAACATAACAGTTAAAATTCACTATGCTTTACCACATTGTGCACTCTTCTGAGTATTTAAAATATATTATCTCATTTAACCTGTACAGCCTGTGGAGGTATGCTCCACTTATGACCTCACCTTTACTAAATGACCTAACCTTTACTAAACAAACTTGAAAACCCTGAAACTAATAAGGAAACTTATTTATTTTCATTTTATTGTTGTAAGTTACTATAAAGAAAAAAATACACAGGTTTTAATTTGTTGAAGTTCTTTACACAGTTTATAATTTATTGAAGTTCTTTATGTTTTCCATGAGTTATTTATTAGTTTGTGTTTTTAAAACTTTTATAAAAGCATCTTTAGGAACTTCAATGTTGCCAATTTTCCTCATCCGTTTTTTTCCTTCGGCTTGTCTCTTCAAAAGTTTCATCTTTCGGGTGATATCACCACCATACTGAAAAATATTTTGAAAAATTGTAAGTCCAAAAAACTTCACAAAATAATAATCCTATAGTTACACAGAGATCACAATAGAATCATAACATTCTTATGAAATTACTGTCCATGAGGTAGACATACACAAAGTTACCTCTCTAATCTTGCTGGCAGACACTCATTAAACTATCTTTTCAAACAATGATAAAAGGTTTAGTTATTTTGGATGGATATGAAGATTCCCCACAGAAACAGTACTACAGTTATTTATGGCATGTTAGAATTATCAGTCTTATTACCAATTCAACTCAAGGCTTGTAATTTTAAATTATATAGATATAATCCAATATAGAAAGTCTTACTCACATAGACAACAATGTGCCAGAAACTATACTGAGCATTTAGAAAGAATCATTTAGTTCTCATAATAATTGAGTTAATCACTGAGATACAGAAAACTTTGGCAAAACAAGAGAGGTGGATCTCAATTCTCAATCTTACCACTGTAAAAGCCATGGTCTTCAGAATCTTTCATCATATATTAGACCATAAAAAAATTATCAAATCTACCCTTAGAGAGTGTGTGTGTGTGTATACATATATATGGAAAGTCTTATGAATAAGAGGAAAAATGTTTCTGAATGTAATCAAACTAATTACTATGATCAATCTAAAATTTACCTCTTTAAAAAGGAAACCTGAAGATTAAAGGACATTTATAAAAACCAACATGAAAACCAATATATTTTTACCCCTTTTGACTTAAAACCCACAAAATAGAAATACTACAAAATAGAATATACACTAGATACATACACATTTTGCCAAAACATTTTTCCTGTAGGGTTTCACACTGTAAAAGAGAAAATTATGTTTAAGTACACATTTCCACTATACTTTTAAAAAGTACTTTTAAACAATTTCTCCTTAATAAAATATTTTAATGATAATGCTATTATGTATATAAAACTACTGTAAGCAAATAAATAGTAGCCCAAGTGCCTTGTATTTTCATTCAGTTAGCATAAAACAGCAAATAAATTCAACATGATTATCAACCAGTATTTTATTAAGAAAAAAGGCCAAGCTGTGGTAGTTAGGCTTGATTACTCAAACTTCAGCCTAATGTGACCTTAATGTAAGAGTTATATTATTTATGGCTCAACCTAGTAATACTGCTACTACTTAAAACAATTAAAGTGGATTATTATTAGTATTGAATGTGGGTGGAATAGTTAGGAAGATAAACTAGGAAGACATTACAAGATTTAGGCTTTTATGCTGGGGTTGTGGCTCAGTGGTACAGAGCTTTTATAAAACCTATCCTAATTTGAATTTATCTATATCACAGATTAATAATCTATTACTGTAGTATATTAGAAATTTCCAGGTTACTCTAATTTTTAAAAATAGTCCTCCTGCAAAGAATTTTTTTTATTTAGTTTTCATATAGTATCAGAATACCCACAATGATTGAAAAAAGGTATTAAAATCTCTATATAACTGAAAAAAAAACCCCAAAACTCCCTTTTACAGATATTCATTAAGATACAGACCTCTATTATTCAAGAATTTAAAAAAAAGCGATTATGCAAATTACTACAGATCACATTAAACATTCAAATATTTAGGATAGGTAAATAATTACATATTTTTCTGTTTCAGAGACAAAGCATACACTGTTGGGAAAACCATATGTGCTGGCAGAACCTTAACACAATCATTGAATGATCATTTACTATTTTCCTGATGTTCTGTGATTATCAACTATATTCTGCCTAGTCTGTTTTCATGAAACACAAAAATAACTGAAGCAAAACAGTTTTACAAAATGAAATTCATTCCAATAATAGACATAAAATTTATCTCAAATCTATATATAGATGTTGGCTTTGGTTAAGCTAGAATTAAATAGCAATTTACAACTTTTCATAACTACAGAGGTATTTCTGATTCCCCAGAAGTAATTAGGATCATTAAAAAAAGGGAAGTGTACTATAAGACTTCCTGCAGTTAGGAATATTTCCTATCAGCTGATTCAGTTCTGACTTATTACTATCTTGTGGAAAAGACTAGTTTGCTACAGAAATGAAGGCATCTCTCATCTAGTATAACCCACATATGAGGTTCCTAACCTACAGTCCAAAGCCTAATATGATATTCACATTCCTTTCTGATTTAGAACCTCCCTACTTCTCGGGAAGTGGTATTACATGCTTCAGGTAAAAGATACTTATTTTATCTTTTAGTTTCAGTTTCTATTAAGTATAAACTACCTGAATTGGTTGAGTCTATCTAGATAAAACCTTTAAGGAAATTCCTCTCCAAGGAAATACAATATAGTCATTCAATGGAAATAAATGGAAATTTTTTCAAACTCATATCCGTAAAAAACATTCCTGATAAAGTTATGTAAGTAATTCAAAGTAAAAGTCACCACTTAAACCACTGGAACTGGAGTCAGCTATCATACTATTTCTACAAGTAGGAATAAAACTTAGGCCAATAGCAAGTTAAAATTTCCAATATTCTTCAGTTTTCTAGGTATATCAATTCTAAAACCAGCCTGGGAACAGAAATGAATTTCAACTCACCTTTCTCTTGCAACAATTTTACTTCCAATAGCAGCTTGAATTGCTATCTCAAACAACTGCCTGGGAAGAGTATCCTTTAGACGTTCACATATGGTTTTGCCAACAGTGTGTGCTTTGTCTCTGAAACAGAAAAATATATAACTATTTACATATCCTAAATAAGAATGTTTAATGTATCTATAGGCATTTGTATAATCAATTTAACAGTGCTTTTTTTAAGAGGAGGTTCAAGTGGAACTTATTTATCATAAACATCTCTCTCTGAATCATGAATAACTTTTTAAAATAAAATTAATTTTAGAAAATTTAGAAACACATTAGAAAATAAAAAACATCCTTGATGCCCCTTCTCTCTTCCACAGAAAACCAGTTACCATTTTTAAGATATATCCTTCTGATATTTATTGTAGTTAGATCATAGTGTACATTTTACCTTCCTCATTTTCTGTCACTAAATACTAATTTACAATATAATTTAATGAGTTGAAATATGGTTATGGGTTTGCCATAATTTAACCAGTGTGCCAGTTCATAATTTCATTTTTCAGTTATCATTAAAAATTTTTTAAATGTAGCTGTTGGAATAAAAATGAGTGATTAATAACTAAAGAAAAATGCATCAAAAGTGATTATTTTCACATTTTATGATTAGTTTCTACTCAACTTACTTGTGTACGATAGTTACTAGTTCCTCTACAATATTTCCATTCAGTAGAATATCCATTTTTACAAGTTCTGCAGTCTGATAGCCTGCATCTTCATAATCAAAGCTAACAAGAAAAAAAAGTCCAAATGACATATATCCCAGGAGATTAATTTTTCTTATTTCTTTCATTACTCACTCCCCTATAACAAAATCTAGCTTGCCAGCAAAATATTACAAATATTACATATACAGTGAGTTTAAATGTCCACAATAAGGAATAAACTTTATGAAATAAGGGATGAAAAACAACAGGTGTATGTCAGAAGGTGAAGGAAAAGAAAATGGTTAAACTAGATTAGAACAATAGATCACTAAAGACAAAAGTCATTTCCTCCCCAATGTTCCCAACAGCTGGTGGGCTCTGTTCAGTACCATATATTAATGGGTCATTCTCAAGATGTATTAGTTGAGTTTCTGTTTAGTTTTCTATTACCAATGACAATCCTGTTTAAATAAGTGCTGTTGCATTGACAAACAGCCATTAATACATGAAACTTTTGGATTTCCTATATGATTACAGGAAACACATCTGGAACTCCAAAAAGACACTGTGCTTGGGATTTAAGTTTGAGAGAAAATAGCTGTTTGGTTTGGCATTACATCCTCATTATGACCATGCTGTAGTAGATTTTTGACACTCAACATGAAACTAATTTTTCCTGATCTCAATCCATGGGAGGTTGATGGCTTTATAGAAGGCTACGAACTATAAGGAATTTCTGTTAAGTGTGGAAATGACATTCATCTTGAACATGAGAATCACCTTAATGTTAGAAGTTTGAGTATTTTAGTTTTATGTAGCTCAAAATTTGAAATGTATTTTAAGTTTCCAAGCTAAAAGATTTTTTAATACAGAAAGTATTACCCAAAGGCAAACTATAGTTGATAGACTTTTGTTTAAAATGTTTAAAAACAAATATATCTTCTAATAATCCTTTTAACTGTAGTAATTTTTGAACCTGCCACTTTAATTCATTTTATTTTAAATTTTATTACCACTTACATGCTTAAAGTCTTGTCTAAAAGACATACAAGAAAAATAAAATGGATGACAAATCAGAAAAACTAAGTTCTCTATATAATCAAACATTAAGACTTCTTTAGTAAAAAGAGTTATTCTATATGCTGACCCTCTTCACCTGAAAAAAAAAAAGTTAAATTTCCAGGTTATTACAGAAGTTGAAACACTGGAATTTTTCTTTCAGTGTTAATTTTAAAATTCATATCTTGTGTGTTTTTTATAGATCTGAATGTTTATTTTCCCACTCTGTTTCTCTATTTTGTTTCATATTTCCTTTAAATTCTACTATACACTATCCTGTAATGTAAGACCTTAAGGATACTGACATAATACAGACTTAATTGCCCCAACAAAAAAAGAATGCCAGAATACTACATACCCAGTTCCTTATTTATTATTTAATATTAACTTTCAACTCTTACTTTGTCTGGCTGTGTTCCTATACATACAGTTTTTTATGATGTAAAACATTTACTCCTAGGAAAACCAAGTTATTTATTCAAAAACACAGATGAACCCCTAGCATTTTAAATAGAATGAATATGTACTTCTGTTTTTCATGTGTAAATAGATGTGCCTGGGATTACGCAACATACAAATACATTTCAAAAGTATAGCTGAAGTCACAGTAGCTTTTTAACATGTACAATTCTTAAAAAAGACAGAAGGAATATAATTCTTTTCATAAAGAAGGTGCTAAGTTGTTTTTTTTCTATTAAAAGTAGAGTTACAATTTGATCAAAAGAATTTTTTTGTCATAAGCAAATTATAAGTATTCTCTTAACACCACCTCAGTGTTAGAACTACAAGATTCCAAGCCTTTCCAATCTTAGACTTCTATTTTCAACTAGAATCAAGAGTTGAAATTACTAAGTGGGTGGCATATTCTTGTCAGTATTTCAAAAAGTTAACAAACATTTGAGATTGCCATATATTTTTACCTAGCATATCCAGAAGACAGGGATTTCAAAGAGTCATAAAAATCTACCACAATTTCATTCAAAGGGAAAAGATATTTAAGCATAACTCTACTTTGATCAATAAACATCATATTTTGCTGAACTGCTCTTCGAGCCTAAAAAAAAAAAAGAAAAAATGTATTTAAGTAAAACCTAGACAAATACTGGTCTTAAACTGGTGCATACAGATATCAACTACCAAGTTACAAATCCTAATAATAAAGAATGGAAAAAAATGAAGAAATAATTCTCTAATGGCCTAGTAAAAATTTAGAAGCATCATTTTTTAATACAAGAACCTTTTTGTATTTCAATTACATTATGCTTGCTAGCAAAGCTTTTAATCCTTTGTATTTATCTAACAGTTTTATCTTTTTTAAATTACACATTATTACATTGAGCAATAAATCACATGTAACTACAAAAGGCAAAGTCCTAATTTTATTTCTTTTCTTTTCTTTTTCTTTTTTTTTTTTTACAAATTGGGTCCAGAGAAATTAAGCAACAGATCATAATTACAATGTAGTTTGTGGTACAGAAATAAAATTCAGGTCTTCTAGTCACCATTTGACATACTTTACACTCTGTGTCAATATTCCAAATACTGTGTGTCAATATTCCAAATATGTAGATTTGATGAATTTCATTATACCCCATTTGTGGAGTAGGTATTATTACAATAAAAAAGGCAAGAACTATAAAACAAAATGGGGAATACTTCTAATCTAGGGTCCCTGAAGTTTTATAATTATCTTTCAAATGATATTCAAATCCTCTTTCAAATGATATTGAAGTCCTTAAAGGGCTAAAAGGAATCATACTTTTAGCCAGTTCAGAATGCATATTAAATTTATTTCCTTTGGGCTAAAAATATCAATAAATTACGAGATGATCAAAAACACTGATTGTTTTTCTTACTTGAAAATAGAATTTAAAAGCATATGCATCTTTATACTTGTATAGATATAGACAGAGCTATATATATGAAAATCTCATTAAACTCAATTTTCTCAACAGAAATCTTTTAAAGCCTAGGTTGGGAACTACTGTTTCAGAGGATTAAATTCTACTTTTGTATTAAATAGTTTTTCATTTCTACCTGACAAAGCATCATTATTTTTCCAGTGTATTCATCTGGTGTGATAATGGTACCCAAAACAATTGGCTCCAAATATTCTGTTACTTTTGGCTTATCAGGAAATTGTGCAGGGTTGATGATTGTGATTTCTTTTTGTCTGTATTCCTAAAATTTAGAAAAATCAACAAGAAAAAATACTAATGTAATATTTACCTCATTTCTTTAAAAAGCAAACCTTTTACCTTATAGCATACTCTAGAATTTATTTTATCAAACTTTTTGCCACTAATAAGAACATATAAGAATTCCTAAAGCTTAGAATATTATCTTAACATGCTTTTTCTTTAATTAATATCCACAATATATGAGAGCACCATATACTATAAGACAGCCATATCAATGTTTATAGTAGCTCAATTCACAACAGGCAAGCTATGGAACTAACCTAGGTGCCCTTCAACAGATGAATGGGTAAAGAAAATGTAGTATATATACACAATGCAGTATTACCCAGCCATGAAGAAGAATGAAATTATGGCATTGGCTGGTAAATGGATGGAACCAGAGTATATCATGCTAAATTAAATAAGTCAGACCCAAAAAATCAAAGGTTGAATGTTTTTGCTGATATGAGGAAGCTAGTCCAAAATAAGGTGGTTAAAAGGGGTTGGGGGAGAAAGGAAGAAAGTGGGGGAATTCTATCAAAATAGAAGAAAGATTAGTAGACTAGATGAAGGGGACTGAGTGGGAGGGAGGGACAACAAAATGAGAGAAGAACAGTGGAATGAATATGACCCAACTTTCATTCATATATAAATATAAGCACAGTGAATTCTCAACATCAAGTACATCCACAAGACATAACTAAAAAAAGAAAACAAAAAACACTGTGTGTAAATATCAGAAAGATCAGTAAAGGGAAGGGAACAATGGGAGGGTGGAGGGGAAGAAAAGGGGAAATGGGGAAATACTGGAGGAATTAGGCTGAATTACATTTCATGCTTTAATTGTGTCAAAACGAATCCTAATATTATATATAACTAAAGAGAATTAAGAAGAACAAAATTCAAAACCCCTCCAGTAATAATCATTTACCATTACTAAAACAATTGTTAATAAATATTTCAGTTATTGACTTACTACACTTTACATTTCATAGGCTATTAAAAAGTACATGTGTCAATTTGACCCTTTTAAGGTATTAGTTTACTAAGTTAATGTTGTTGGAAAATATAGATTCCAAAGTTAATGGTTACTTAAAATTAATAAATTGCTGTTTGGATGGAAAATAACATTGTCTCCATCATTAACTTGAAATTTAAAGTTTCCATGCCCACAAGAATGAATGCTTTACTTTTTAATAAAATAAATTACTTATGACCAAAATTATATTTTTCATCTTTGTCCTATATTTAGAACAGTATTTTCATTATTTATTCTAATTTTTACTATCAGTAATAGACTAGCTTTGATAATATAGAGACCAAATAAAGAAAAAAAATGCATAAATTATTACACTAATCAATCAATAGTTTATTAGTAGCTACTCAGCTGCTACTTACTAAGAATTTCCTCTTACATTCTTCATACACAATTTAGTTTTCCCTTTTATGCTGATGTGAAACAATATGAAACATTCTAGTACCTTTATTAATTTTGCTGATGAAAGAACAGCTTTATATGGAACAGTAGGTGTTGTCAAAATAACAGCAGCATTATATTCTTGCTCTAGTCTTTGGTTGAAAACTTCCATATGCAAAAGTCCAAGAAATCCCAACCTTGAGGACAAAAAAGCCATACTTTAAATTGTTTATATCCTGGGGGCTCTATTAGCTTTGATGAACATGTTACTTCAGGGGAGGGGTGGACCAAGAGTCATTCAAACAACTCACATCATAATTAAATGCTAATATAACTTATTAAATAAGATTCAAATCCTCCATTGCAAATCTAAAATTTTCATAAAACTTATTCATAAAACATGAATCCACAGTGTAAAATAGGCTGACATAAGGTTTAACTTTACTATATTAATATAAACTTATCTTTAGAAATATTTCAAGAGCAATACACCATCTAAACTACGCTTTCCTACAAAAATGCAACTCTACTACATGAATGAATCTTACCTCCAGCCAGCACCCAGAGCAAGGCTGCTATCCCGATGCACTGTCACACTGGAGTCATTTAAAGTCAATTTTTCTATAGCACTCTTCAAGTTATTATATTCAGATTGGTCTACTGGGTACATTCCTGGTGACACAAGAAGTTTTAATTATCACAAGATAAGCTGCCTATAAACCAAACAATATGTGGTATTCTCCAGTCCAAAAGTAACCAATTGGCTTTTACATTTCTTTAGTGTATTCTATTGACAAAAATACTGGTTTACTCAAAATTTATCAATATTAAGTTAAACTGGTTGCAAAATTCATTAGCTTTAAGGAATACAAAAATGGATTCACATTCCAGTGTTTTTATGCTTTTACAGAAGTATGAGGGAAGAAAAACAAGAAGGAACCATGGAAATTTAGGCCTACAGGAAAAAAAAAAATTGAGTTTATTTAAGTGTAAGATGTTCTACAATTGAACGGAACATTTACTATATAGTTACATCTCTATTACTAGAGAAGAAATAAGAGTGGAAATGAAAACTACATAGAACTTTTAATTCTATATGGTCCATTCTCTATTAAATCCAAAGACAAATTTTTTTTTTTTTTTAGGAATTTACTAACAAATACTATGGGAGTGTACTGATTCATCAAATTCTCTTTTGTCTCACAACTGTGAATACCACACCTTGCAAGTTATCAATATCCAAATGGCTGGCTGCTTAAATGTGGGGATAACCCAAGTTCATAATTCCCAATGAGATAGTCTATAGGGAGAAAACTGATCTTTGATCTGGTCTTTTCTAAAATATCTTAATACCACATAATAGTAAACGGTTCTGAAGTTATATTCTTAAAGTCACACTGTATTCTGTATCACGTTTACACTGGTACAACATTAAAGAAAACCCAGTTAAGTAAGAGGAGAATATTCAGTAAATATACTGATAATCAGAAATAAAAACATCCTAATTAGAAAAAACATTTCAGATATAAAAATGAACTCCCTAGAGAAATGAAAATAATATCCTATAAACCAGCTTTTTTCATATGCATTTATTTTCTTAAGGAGTCCTAAATGAACTTTCAGAAAAACTTCATCTCATATATGAAATTAACAACTTATGTGTCAATAGCATGCACACATAAAAAATGAAACGACAAGAATATCCTGACATTAACAGTCATTTAGAATAACCAGAATCTGTCTTTATCCTCTGTGATTTTTCTTTCACTAAAGGGTCAGACTTTTAGTTGAAAAATTTTTGGCCCTTGACCTTTGAATTTGTGAGCTCCTCACCTGCAAATACCATTGGTTTCGCTGATTTAAACCCAGGCAAGGGCTCCACTGGATGATTATGTAAATACAATGTATCTCCTATTTGCGCTTCAGTGACATCTTTCATCCCAGCAATCAGATAGCCCACCTGTCCTGCATATCTAAATAAAATTATTATATGCAAACATACTGCTTTAACATCTCAATTGCTTACTACAGTTGTACAGCTTTCCCAAGAAACTATCACATACTTTCCAAACAAAACTTGAGCAAACCACAAATAAGTGCTACATATCAATTTTAAACCTCTGGGGCTTATCTGCAAAAGACCAAAAAACCAAAACACCATGTCTCAGCCATTACCACAAAAACCCCTGCAGAAGCCTAAAACTTCTTCCTAAGTCTGCACAACTTTTACAAATTAAACAACAGCTTCTAAATTATAAACACAGGATAACTGGTTTCACTGTACACAAGCATGATATATTAATCATCTATTTTATTAATTAATAAAAATGTTACAAATGTTCTTTAATAAACAAAAAAGTGAATTTTAAGCAGAAAAATGTGAACTTTCAACAAATCTGACAACTATCTGATATTTGTGTTGTAGGAAAAGAGCATTCTAAGATGTCAAGAGTTTTACCTTAGTTTAGAAAAGAAATCCCTATGTAAACTAATTTATATGTAGAATGAAATATGAGAACCTTAAGTGAAGATGCAATAATATATTTGGCACAATAGAAGCTGATTTTAGAATTATTTAAGTAAAATGAAAATACACAGAATTTCTGACTCAAGGTAATTAGTAATGTACTGCTTTTCTAAGCATACAATATTGAACCTTCAAATGTGGTCTATGCAAACATCTGGCACAATACCCTAACTTTTTACAGATGAAGAAACAGTACCCAAGAAACCTCAAACTATGTACCTAAAGTCATGTCTCATCAGTATCTAACATAGAGCAGGCACCCTAGTTGTAACTCAGGTCTGTTTTTCTAAAGCACACTACCTTTGTAATCCCACTCCCCAAGGATTTTAGTTAATCAAGGTTTTATTGTGAATTTCACACTAAAGAAAAGAATGCAAAGTTCTATACTATCTTTATGTTAGAAAATCTAGTTGTAATGAACTTACATGTCTAAAAAAATTTTCTCAACATGGATATGGGTGGGAAAAACTAACTCTTTAATTATTCCACTGAACATATCAATGTAGGACCCAATCTACTATATCATTAAATCAGTTGTGACTAGTCAAGAATAAACATCTATTGATTATATTTTATATCCATAAATGTTCCTACCATTCTTCATACATGAGACCCTTCTGCAGCATTCACTGTATAGTTGCATTAAATAATCAGGTACTTTTTTAAGATACAAAGTGGAGATCATTGTAAGCTCACCAAGGTGAGAAAGGGGCAGAAATATAAATATATACAAACATTTTAGCTACTGTTACAGATTACTTACAATTTATGAGTTGACTTCTCATTAGGATTCAAAACTCCGACTTCATTAACTTCATATGTCTTTTGATTATGTGCAGACACAATTTTATCTCCTTTGGAAACCACACCATCAAATAATGCTACATTGGCTATCACACCCCTATACTGGTCGAAGGTAGAGTCAAATACCAAAGCTCGCAGGGGATTTTTGCGATGCACTTTAGGGCTATTAAATACAAGTAAAAATATATATACCAAATTAAAATCTTAATAAAAACACCTATTTTCAACTTGGGTATTATGTTTAATGTACTCTTGTTCTTGAGAAAGGGTTGATACCTAACAGCCAAAATAAAAGAATCTTTCTGTAAAATATGTATGTGAGATTGAATTCAACTTTGAATAAATTGCAATATTTATTTGTTAATATATTTGTTCATTATAAAGCAAAAAAGAATTGTCAATGAAATTCTTTCATGGTTGTTAAGAAGAGATCCCCACCACCCCTGTTCTCTTCCTTTTACTCTACTGTATATGCTTAAGTATATTACTAAAAACAAAGGTTTATTCTTATTCGCTACAAGTATATTTGCATATCCATGATTTAAAAAAAAAATCAAACTGATGGTCTTTGAACTATTACATATTAAGTGAACAGTATAAAATCAGCAAAAAATACTTACGGGGGTATTCTTTCAATAACTGCTTGAAGAACACTTTCAACATTTGTTCCAAGTTTAGCAGAAATCTAAAAATATACAGGAAAAAAAGAAAAAGCATTTAAAATTAAGGATATATTTTTCTATTCTGATGACTTAAGCTTTATATTCAGAAGAATTCTAATAATTATCAATTAGTTTCAATATAGCAAAAGGAAACTCACATTTGTATGCTGACAAATACCTTTTTTCATTACAGTTAGGAGGTTCCATGGTTCCAGGATTGAATTATAAGAGCATTTTTAGCATGCTGTTGAGAAAGTAATGGACTAAGAATTGAAAAAGTCCAAGAGTAACAATCATGATAGGCACGGTGGCTCACATCTTATAATCCCAGTAGCTAGGAAGGCTGATGCAAAAGGATTGTGAGTCCAAAGCCAACCTCAGCAAAAGGAAGGCACTAAGCAACTTAGTCAGACCCTGTCTCTAAATTAAATACAAAATTGCACAGGGTATGTGGCTCAGTAGTGGAGTGCTCCTGAATTTAATCCCCAATATTCAAGAAAAACAGAGTAACAATCATATGTCTGCATGAAATGTAGGACTTTCACTAATACCTATTTTCTTGAAATTCAGCTTTCATATCTGAAATATGAAATGATTATTCATATTCAGCCTAAATCTCAAGAATGATCAGTATATGTGGATGGCATGCAACTATAAAGCCCATTACTCTTTTATTGTTCTCACACTGAAAAAACAATGTAAGACTTAAACCATAAGACTATGAGTTACCTTTGTCATCATCAGTGTAAGAACTTTCTCTGATATATTGATTTCCAAACCCATTTCCTGAACACTACCTCTTCCCCTTCAAACTCATTCTACTGACATTTCATTGCAGTTATTAATGAAATGCACTGCAATATGACTTTTTGTATGCCATTTTACCCCTTTGGAAATACTGTCTTTGTAGAGAAGTTAGCACTACTGATATTTTGGGCAAGAAATTCTTTATTTTGGAGGCTATCCTATGCATTTAGGATACATGCCAGTTATACCCCACCCCCAAAATAAATAAGATATAAGTAAAACATTGCTACTTTATTCCGTTGTATGCATTTGTCTATTGTGTATAGGATAAAAATAATATCACTAGAAATTTGCTCTTTCAAAAACCAAATAAGAGGAAAATATTATATTGCTGCAATGACATACTTTTCTACCATGCAGCATAGCTATGGTTGTGGCTACTTAATAAGCAAACTATCCTTTGAAAGGTAAGTAAAAATTCAAAGATATGAAATTAGTTGGAACCTGGTCTGCAAAGACAGTATTTCCAAAGAGGTAAAATGGCATACAAGAAGTCATACTGCAACAAAAGGCCTGTTTTTGTCCTGATAACACTGGCTAACTACAACGTATGATCTAAGGAACATGATAAAAATCTTTGAGCCTTGGTTCCTTTAAACACAGAAATGAGTCCTGTTTGTCCTAATAATATAAAATGGGTTCCTTGTGAGAATCAAATGAAATAACAAAGACATTGTACAATGTCAGATGCTCAAATACCATAAAATTCACTTAAGTCATTTACCTGAGATTTTTAAAAGTAAAATCCATCTTCAAAAAATGATATTTTACCTTAATACATTCATCACTTGGAATATCAAATACTTTTTCAATTTGTTTTTCAACCATATCAGGATCAGCATTCTTCAGATCTATCTTAAAAATAAAATCCACCACATTAGCATAATAAAAACAAAATATATTATATATTAACAGTATTTGGAGATAGCTAAAGGCTTACTGCTAACCTGTTTTTATTTCAAAAAATTAAAATAATTTACATGTAGATAATATAATTTTAACAAGTATGACTACAAAATATACAAGTCAGGCAGCACAACATGCAAAGAAATAGTTCAGTGCAGAAGAGTTCAGTAATCACATCAATTAGCACCACGTGAATGGATTTTCAAAATAAAATATAAAGTGTGATAAAAAGCTGTCTTACCTATAGGCAGACTTACTTCTATTAAACTCTAATATCAAGGAATATAATGCAATGAAATATGAAACTGAGATTTATATAGAGAGCTCAGTTTATCACTGAACTGTTTCATGGGCTATACTGTTTTCTCATAATCATAAGCCTCTTTGCTTTTCCTATGTGCAGTCTGTATAATATATTTTTGTCTGTATAATATATTTTGTCATACCATTTCTACAGAAATGGCCTTCTCACACTACATGCAATTTAGAGGAACTCCATTCTCAGCTTTGTGCAAAGGCCTAGGAGTTTGACTTGTAATTCTATCCCATGCAACTCAAAGAGGTCAATCCCACCAATACATGGAATAAGTGGCTAGATAGCCCTCATATAAAATCCTGCCCCTGACATTTAAACAGTAAATAAACTTTTCAAAAGTAAAATAATAAATAGCTTTGTTGTCTTATTATAATTACCTTGTTTATAACTGGAATTACTGTTAATTGTGCTTCAAAGGCAAGAAAGAAATTTGCTACAGTTTGGGCTTGAATACCCTGGAAATATAAAGACATGAGAGTCTGAGATGACCATTCTACCATCACAAAATTTATATTCAAAACCATATGGTATTCAAACCATCATCCTCATCAAAATAGATTTTCCATCACCCAAATAATAAACAAAATGCCAAATATCTGCCTGCTATAAGTTTGGGCCCTGAATTCCCCAAAAGCCCATGTATTAAAGGTATTATCTCTAGGGTTGCATTATTAGGAGATGGGGCCTACAGGAGACCCTTAGGTCATTGGCACATGCCCTTTAAGATAACTGTAGGATAGTAACCCCTTCCTCCTCTTTTTGCTTCCAGGCTGACAAGGTGGGTGGTTTTGCTTTGCAACATACCATTACCATGATATGCTGCACTGTCAGTGGCTCAAAGTAATGGGTCAATCAGTGACGGACGGGAGCCTCCAAAACAGCCAAAATAAACCTCTATATAAGCTAATTATCTCAGGCATTTCAATATAATGACAAGTAGCTGACCAATACTGCCCTTCCTACTTTGCTCTCTAGCTTATGTGTTTGGGGTTAAAATAAAGATCACTCATGGTAAGGGAATAGTTTAAACAAAATAGACATTCTACAAAGATTAACACAGGGAGCCTCAAGCAGAGATTTTTACACAGCAAATTTGATAACCCACACTTCCATACACCTGGCTCATTCCCTGTGATAATTTCTTTCAGTTCAAGAAACATTAATTGGAGGTCCTTCATGTGCCAAGAATTGTGCCAGGTATTAGAGACACAGAGATGAAAAATGGATCCTCAAGGACTTCAAAACCTACTACAGAATACAATCATGTGATGCAGTTTATAAAGCCTAGTACTATGTAAGTAAGGTGGAGATTTACTGTTCTTGGCAGAATCAAGTCACATAATACAACAACAATAAAACCTGAATTTTTAATTCAGACTTTGTGAAAAACTGAGATACATGAAAAGCTTAAACTTTAGTATATTTCTTATATAGGTACTTCACGAATTTTATACCACACACAAAAAAATTGGCAACATTCTAAACTATTGCCTTAACCCTAAGACACTCTAACACTTTCTAAATTATTGCCTTAAAAATCACCTAAAAACTAAAGATTTTTAAACTCTACTAAAAACTGACATAGACTGCGAAAGTTGGTGGAGGAGGTTTTCATAGGATGTACTGATAATAGGACAACCTTCATGCTGCAACAAAAAATACAATCTTTTGAATACTTCAATCTCAGCTTTAAAAACTTAACAAATTATTCAATCCTACAGAATGCCTTCCTTAATGTAATAAAACTTCAAGTTAACAGCATCAAAGCATATGATTTTGAAAAACACAATCTATTTCTTTATTCAAACAGAAAAATTCTGTTTCCATAATACATTTTAAGGAAAACATCTTGAAACAACCAAATAGACATATCATTATATAAAATGAAAAATCCTACCTCATTTGCATCAACGACCAGTAAAACACCCTGGCAAGCAGAAAGTGACCTGGATACTTCATAACTAAAATCAACATGGCCCTAAAAAACAAAAATATCCATACCTTTAAATGTTAGCTACAGTTATTCCAGGAAGGGGCATTATGGCAAATCTACTGACACTGATAAAAAGTTGTTAAAACACAGGTTTACTTTTTTTTCTTTATTTAAGTGTACTTTTGAAAGAGGTTACACTAAAAAAAAAACATTGAGGAAAAAAAGATATTTAAAATTCAGTTCAAAAAAATTAAACAATGTTTGTGTTATTAATAAAAGGTTTTTCATAATACATGCAAAGTTATTAATATACTTACTGGTGTATCAATGAGATTTAAAAGGTACTGCTTTCCTTGAAAACTGTAAAAGAGAGATGCTGTCTGTGCTTTAACAGTGATTCCTCTTTCTCGTTCCACTTGCAATTTATCAAGAACTTGCTTATTATTCTTTGTTTTATCAATTGTTCCTACAAACAGAAACATTTAATTGGTATTTCTCTGGACTTTAAAAGAAAATACTACACACAAAATTAAAAATAAAATTTAACATGGTAAAAGTGGATTCCCAATAACTCACTGCAGTTGATTAAGCATATGATATAAAATGAAAATACCTGTTAGTTCTAGAAGCCTGTCAGCTAGTGTACTTTTGCCATGATCCACATGTGCAATGATACTAAAATTTCTAATATCTTCAACAAGAAATTTAGACATGTCAGGTTTTTCCTAGAATGGGGAAAGAAATCACATGTAGGAGTATGAAATTTTCCTTATATGAAACAAATATACTAATTCAAAACATTTTCTTGCTCTTCAATTTTAATTCTAGTATTTATAGTGTTTACATATAATTATTCTGACTACAGATATATATGACTGAGCTCATAACACAACATATCACAAGAAGACTCATCAAACACAACATTTTCATAGTCAAAGACGATCAGTCAGGTAAATAAAAATCCCTTAATGCTTCCATCACTTCTGGGGCCAATGAGGAACTGAATTTATTTCCATGAATGCAGAATACAAGACATCTGGAACTTCTCAACAGTCTTGAGTATGCAGATTATCTAGTAGAAGTTCTTAAGGCAAAGGAGCTCAGAAAAGCTGAAAGAAAGAATTCTCTGCTCCTAGCACACATGAAATCATAAATCAGGTTTATTTAAAAATCTGTGTTCCTAATAAAGCCTGTAACATTTTAATTTAGATAGTTTTGTTACTTTGAAAATTTCCTGGAGAAAATTTTTTTTTTTTTAAATTGCGAGAACAAAAACCAGGGCTTATCATTACATTTTTAAATGTTTAAAAATTAAACTCCTGCTTTCTAATACACACATTTTGAACGCTTTACTTCAGCACATCAGAAACTGCTAAAAATTGGCATTCAAGTAAAATATTCATTTTGTGCACTCTATTTTTCCAGTCAATATTTCATAATCAACAAACAGCACGAAATTATAAAATTCACCTTAATGTTTTTGTATTTATAAATGCCGCAATCCAAGGGAGACAAAAGTATACTTAATTGCGTAAAAATATAAAACTAAATCTGATAGTTCCACAGTAGATGTTTCCCTCATTCGAGTTTTAAGAACTTTTAATTGTAATACACACACACACATACCCCACAGGGATCTTAGAATAGGCCAAAGTTGACTAATCACACAGACCTTACTTTCTACTAACTCATAACTTGTATTCAATCTTTCACTTTTCTGCCTAGTCTTTTCACAGCTATCATATAGTGCAGTTTCTACAGTTACTGAAATCCCACTTTCTCTAACTACAACAGTCAAAACTGCAGGTTGTTTGACTGAAATAAAATGAAATAATAAAAGGAAGCTAAGACATAGTCAATACTTCTCTTGCATTTTCAGCTCTTTGTACTGCATTACACAACCCCCGCAAATAGCCACTGGACCTTTAATTGGTATATCATTGAACAAAAGAAGAAGCAGAGCCAAATGTCTCAAATGCAAAAAAAAAAAAAAAAAAAAAAAAAAAATTAGCAGGTTCCTTGGAGGATTTTAGAATTAAACTGAGAAAGTTAAATGACTGGCTCAAGGTCACACTGGCAGCAGTGGAAAGGCGTGCAGCCTGCAGGCGCTCCACGCTCTCCCGCCTCCCTTGCAGGAATTGGAATATGGGCTCACAGCCAGTTCCAGGAATCCCAGTACGTTTCCAAGATCACATGTGGGGGCCGGGGCGCTGGGGGCCCTCTCCAATATTTTAAAAGGTCTCACCGGAGACTTAGAGGCCGTCACCTTGAGCTCTGCGGAGCTGTAGAGGCTGTCTGTGGTCCAGGAATTCGTAGCAGCCCTAAGGGTCGGGACTGACGGGTCCCTGGACAGCCCGGGTCGCGCGGCCCCGGTGGCCCGCGGTTTAAGCACCAGTCCCCGCCACCAGCTCCGGCCCGCTAGGGCCCACATGCCCTAGGAGGAGGCCTCAAGAGAGAGCCCTGGGAGGCTACGGCGCCATAGCTAGAGGCTTCGTTTATTCCAAGTCGCCGCCTCTAGGGCGGATGGCCAGGCCAGGACCCCGGCTGCCGAAACACAAGGAACCACCGTACTACCCCACACACCAAGTGCCCATCGCTCCTGCGGGTGCGCGGACACAGCACTTCTAGTGCACGCCCGCACGCCCCGCGACGTCCTGACGTCAGTGCGTCTCTGCGCTGAGAAGGGAAGAGATCACATGAGTGAAAGCCAATCCTCTTTTTGATACTGGGGCGCCGGGGCACTGTAGTAGACTTTGCTTTTAGGTGTGCAGTAAGCCCAATGCCGGTTGTCTCTCTTCTTCCCCACGACGGCCCCCGGCCCCGTGGAGTCTGACCTTTTAGGTCCCCGAGCCGCCTCGAGAATTCCAGATGGACGATCACTCTAGAGCTCGCGGGTGGGAAGTGGTGGAGCTGCTGAGGCGCCGGCAAGCCCGAGTCCCGAGCCTGACGTGCGGGTCTCTTCAGCCCTCCCTAGGGGTTTAGGTCGTGGGACCTAAAGATGCGAATTTGCGGAACTTGCTTCCTACCTAATGGCAGAATGATAATGAGAATTTTAAAATCTGGAAGTTGAACTGTATTCCCTGAGTAGTCGTTTATTGCACTACTATTCTGAGAGGAAACAGGCTGATTGCAATGGTGAATCTAGGAAAGTTTTGGCAAGCAGTGAAAGTGGGGAAAGATCCCACTGTCTCCGTTATCTTCAAGTTGCCACTTCATCAGTTGTTTACCTTACACGGAGCACAGGGCTTTGGAGAAGGCAGAATGGGGGACAAAGAGCTGTTAAGACCTGCAGGGTATCATGACTGTCTCCCAGTATTTCTCTTGGGTTTTTCTGTAAGTATCCGGAGTTTGGTGCAAATAAGAAAGATAACAGGCGTGTTCACCATTGTGATTCACCATTCACCATTCACTTGAAAACTCACCATTGTTATTGAAATCTTCAATATTGTTTACAAAACTCCCCCTCCCTTCATTTGGGGGAAATTAAGGCTTTTAGGATCAAAATGTTCTTACAGCCTGTTTTTTCATGAAACTATTATGAGCTAAAAGTGGTTCTTGGGCTGGGGTTGTGGCTCAGTGGCAGAGCACTTGCCTTGCACATGTGACGCACTGGGTTAACTTCTCAGCACCACATAAAAACAAATAAGCAAAATAAAGATATTGCGTCCATCCATAACTTAAAAAAAAAAAAAAGAGTGATTCTGGACACAGGACTAATTCTGTTGATAGAAATAACTATCTTGAAATGCATCGAGCATAATATTTTGTCAATGTTGCCCTGACTTTAATGATTTGAGTATTATCATGTCAAAAACGAAGCTTGACACCAGTTAATGTGATAAGCACAGGTTTTTAAATAGTAACATACTACTGCAATGGGAAACACAGTCCAGAGTGAACAAAATGCACTCTGGACAGAGATGACTGCACATTTTAAAGGGATCTGAGGTACAACTGGACTTGAGCAGAGTCAATGGCGTGGAAAGTAATAAAAGATTGTGAGGGAGGTCCATGGAAAACCCATCTGGGTTTGTTAACTGGTGGTAATATTTTAAAATTCTAATCTAATGCTTGCCACTTGCCCCTTTTTAATCAAAAGGATCAAACCCTGAGTTGAATCTCATTTTTTCTTTCTCTGTATGATCCAGTGTCTTTTTTTCTGCGGGGGTTGGGGGTAGTACTATGAGAACTTAACCTATGAGATACATTCCCAGCCCTATTTTGTATTTTGTTTAGAGACAAGGTCTCACTGAATTGCTTAATGCCTCTCTTTTGCTGAGGCTGGCTTTTAACTCCTGATCCTCCTGCCTGGGCCTCCTAAACCAGAGTGCCTGGCTGATTCAGTGTTTTTAACCCCATATCTGTTTCTCACCTACATTTACTTGGTATTTCCATAAGTATTACTCTCACAACACTGCAGTATCTTACAAGGCTGACATGTCCAGCCTACAACAGAAAAATAGATTCATTAGAAAAATACTGAGCACCACCATGTCAAATAATGTACTGGTTGAGGAAACTCAGAGAAATTTAGCAAATTGTTTGAAAATGTGTAATGGATGCTGTGGTTTTGATATGGTTTAATGTGTCCTCGAAAGATTCATTTTCCGGAAGCTTTGTTCGCAATAAAACAGTATTGAAATGGGATCTTTAATATTAGTTGATTAGACCATGGGGCATCACCTTCAGAATGGATTAATGTAGTTATCCCAAGACTGGGTTAGTTGCCATGAATACAGATTATTGTAAAAGAGCAAATCTGGCTCCTACTTACTTACACCTGACCTTTCTTAAATGCACTCCTGCCATGTGATGCTAGCCACAAAGTCCTGACTAAAAGCCCTTGTCAGCACCTCCTCTTATACCTCAAGAACTGTGAGTTAAGTAAACCTCTTTTAACTAGAAAGTACTCAGCCTCAGGTATTTCATTATCGCAACACAAAATGGACTAATACAATAGATAAATGGGAAAATCTACATTTGAATCCAGATTGTTAGAAATCAAGCTCATCTCTCTGAAATATTTTTAACAGCATACATTTATTTTTCTGGGAATCTTCTGTGCATTGAAGGATAAGTAGTTGCCCATCCCCAGGGAAATAACTGGAGCCTAATTGTGTAGAGGGGTTGACAAGAGCACCATCACATTTTCTCTATTCCTAGCCCTATTTTAGAGGGCTTACAGAGCCCTCTAGTGTAGGCATCTTATTATTTCCATTGCACAGATAGCTAAGAAAAATGTGTCCCAGGCATTTTAAATAACTGCATAATCACACAGTGATAAAGCAGGACTGTGAACCCAAGCAGTTTGGCTTTAGAACCTACATCCTAGACCATTCCATTAGTCTCCATTCTGTTGAGCAAGGAAACAAATGGGTACAATCAGAAGACATTGACTAAGAGTTGACAGAGAATCATGGTCAAAATTGAGCCCTGTGATATTTTGAGGCAAGGATTTCTGAAGAACTCATTTAATTTTTCTTTTTTTAATACTGTGGGTTGAACTAAAGGGCTCTCAACCACTGTGCCACATTTCCAGCCCTATCTTTTGTATTCAATTTAGAGACAGGATTTCACTGAATTGCTTAGTGCCTCGCTTTTGGTGAGGCTTTGAATTCATGATCCCCCTGCCTTAGCCTCCCAAGCCTCTGGAATTATAGGCATGTGCCATCATGCCTGGCTTCATTTAATTTTAAAAATCATAAATCATGGCCCATTTCACCCAAATAATTGATGTATATTAGGGAGATTCCATTCTTATATAATTAATGCAAAACTTTTTTATTTATGTTTTTATACAATAATGAAGTATATATTAGGTTTTGCTGGGGCTGTCATAACAAAATACCACAAACTGAGTGGCTCAAATAACAAGTATATTTTCTCATGGTTCCAGAGGCTGGAAATACATGGTGAAGGTGTCTGCACAGTTGGTGTCTTCTGAAACCTCTTTTCTTGGCTTGTAGCTCTCCACTTTTATGCTGTGTCCTCACATGGTCTTTCCTCTATATGTTTCTGTGCCCTAACTTCCTCTTCTTATGAGGACACCAGTCATATTTGATTGGGGACAATGCCAATGCCCACATTTTAACTTAACTACCTCTTCAAAGACTGCCATCGCCAAACAGTCATATTCTGAGGTACTACAGGCTCAGGCTTCAACATATGCACCTTAGCACTGGAAACACAATTTAGCCCACAACAAAGGGAATGATAAATTAAAACATATAGATGACAATTTTATAACTACTAATTTCTGTTTCAAGATTATTGGTATTGTGGAGCATCTCTAGCTCTAGCAATACCATTGAGTTTTTACAATAACATCACTATAGTTGTTAAAAGCATGTAACAATCTCAAGGCATATTCGTGCAGTGTTAAAGGATCGCTGGTGCTTCTATTACACACATAAAATGGTGCCATCATTTGTCTACAGTGTAAACTACAACTTAGAATTCATTTTTTTTAAAGCTGGTTTTTAAATTTTCTGTTGTTTTTCTTTTTTTAACTTTGAAAATATATTGGGATTTTCCAACTGTTTTATATCACAAATAGAAAGTATTTGGTGAAGAGGAGGAGAAAATAACTTGAGTTTTATATGGAAAACAGAGTCATTCTATGAAGAACCTTAGAATTACAACATCATCCTGTGCAGAAGCCATTTGGGGAAGCTTTCTTTGACATTGTATAAAATTTATTTAATAAGAAAATGAAGCGATGAAAAAGAGAAAAAAAAGGATTTTCTATTTTAATAATCTAGGTGAGACACAGCAAAATTCTGGATAAATCAATGACTTAAAAAATGAGAAGTGGAAATTAATAGACATTTTGAAGACAAATAACAAGGTTGATTTGATATGGAAAGAGGGAGGAGTCCAGGAAAACTGAATTTTTCTTTTAGCATTGATAGATTGGATAATAGCATTGCTATTTAACAGAATGTAAAATTTAAATATTCACATTAATATCCAGTAAGGGGAAAAGTGCAGGGCTACAGTTTGGGAAGCCATCTGTAAAAAGAGAACAAAAACTGTGATGTTGGGTGACTTTTTGAAGTCAGAGCATAGAAAATTAAATTTTTGATAGGAGAGAAAGTCAACATACTCCATAGTATCCTTTTGTGAAATGGAAGTAACAGGCCTCAAGGGAACATAATAGATTATATGGGTGTACATTTACATTCTTCAAAAATTTCCTCTAAGCATCTATACTTGGGTTCTCCAGAGAAATATAATCAACAGCCACTTTATTATTCAAGCCATTTTATACACCATTGCTAGAGTAAAGTTCCTAAAGCAGAAGCGTAAATGTATTATATTTCTTGATTACACTGGGTTCTCATACATTCAGGACTCTTATATAAGATATAGATACATATATATATATATATATATATATATATATATATATATCCATATAGACAGATATTGAAAATGAAAATTTTAAGTAAGTGGCTCACACAGTAGTAGAGCCAGCAAATACAAGGTTTATAGCCCAGGCTGATAGGCTGAAAATTCAGATAAGAGTTGATGTTGTATCTTAAATCCAAAATCTGCAGGGAAATTCAGGCAGGATGTCTATTTTGTGATGCTGAGGCAGAATTCCTTTTTAATCTCTTTCACAGGACTTACAGTAATCAAGGAG